AATCCTGCCTGGAGAATCATAGAGGGAGGGTCATGGACCTACACATGTGTACGTCTTGTGTCTCCCACTGTGAAGTGATTCACAATAGTCCCTTAATCCACAAGGTGTGGCCTCTTCGTAGGGGTTGTTCCCATTCCCATGACACTTAATAAGGGTCTCCCATGTCCCCTGCTCCATCAATACTCTCTCATCCTCATTTATTCTAGGGCAGTATATATCTAGGAGGGAGATAAGCCATCCCTATGTGATTGTGGCATTTCCCCAAATGTATTGGGTAATGCCCCTTCACCCTACATGTAATGGAAGAAGAGCCTGACAATCTCTCATTAAAATTCAATTTACTTCCTTTTAGTAATCGTCTGGTCAGGTCTGAGAAGATGAGACTCATTCTTTTTTTATGAAAGAGGAGCGTGATGGAGAGTCATCGATCAAGTTCCTCCTTAGTCCTTACGCTATTCCTTTTATTTTGTCGAACATTTTCAATGGTATTGATTTTCCAGTTTCTGTATGACACGAATAATGTAATACTTCATATTTATATTAAAACATTGTATTTTGTGATAAAATGAATAGTCACAGATTTAAATAATGATATTTAAAAAATATATAATTTTTGTTAGAATATAAAAAATCATTCTTGAGCCACAACCACAAACTTGAGCTTTTCGTTGAGTTGGTTTCTTAACAAGATATCAAAGCCTTCTTGACCAAAGAGGTCACTACTTTGAAACTCAGTGCCACTCAGTTTTAAAAAAATTAAAGATTTCACGTGTAAGTCTCGAAAAAAACTACCTCAACTCGTGAGGGCGCGCGTTAGAATATCAAAGATCATTTATGGGCCACAACCACAAATTTTGAGCTTTTGATTAAGTTGGTTCATTGACAATTTCAAGTTTACAAAAGTACATAGGCAACACTTATCAAAGGAATGTGAAATAGTCACTATATAATTTCTTTGTAACATGTATAAATCAAATATTATTATTGATAGCAAACGGTACCTTGGAGAGTTGGAGGCCATACGACGCTCTCAAGGCACCACTGATTTAGATCTCATTTCGTATTAGCGTTGGAGGTTAGATTGACATTTTAAAAAGACTATCTGACGATAATTTTTTGGCGTTAGCGTTTTTAGAATTAATCTATACCATTAAATTTTTATCTAAAATGCTAATGCTAATTGAAGATATTGTTCCGGAACAAATTCTTGACTTGCTAGTCATTCTCTTTATCCAATAAAATTTACCCACCTTAATGGAACTTGAATCTATCTTTGCCCTATCTCTCAAATCAACCCAATTTAGCATGTAGTCTCACGCCAATTGAATTAGAAAGATTGTTGGAGGCGTTGCACAATTAATTTGGAAAAGAGTGTCAAATGCGATAATGATCGAATTTGATTCTTGGTAACTATACTAAAAAAAAATTATACTAAATATAGTGTCTCCTTAAGTAGGTTATATGGATACACACAAATTATATTGCATAACTTTGCTTATTTTAACATGGGTAGCAGATATCATGTTACTCTAACCAATTTAAACATCTTACGGTTATTCGATCTCGAAATGGTTTCTACCAACCTAATGTCCTTACAAAACGCCACCTTTTGCACCCCCATCCAAGTAGTGTTTAGTGCACCCTTGATTTTGAGCAAAATATCAATCCAAATTGATGGGTTCAATTGAGTGCATTGGAGTGGGAGTAGGGGACGAGCTTTGAATGAAAGATCTATGAGAGAGGTTGAAGGGTATAAACTACTTATATATTGAACGTTAACCACCGTTGACCAGCGATCTAACATCACATAATTACTATTCACACAGTTATATTGTCATAATAATATTGTCACTTTTAACACTGGCAAGCTCATATTTAAAAGCTAAAAGCAGCGTCACTTCTTTTTTATGTTTTGATGGTATTTAACATTTTTATGCTTATTTAATTAAGGGTGCTTTTTTATATATCATAATTTTATGCTATTTATTTATTTAAAACTATATTTAATTTGTAATCAATAAATATCATACTTCGACCAAAAACTTATTCTAGGATACATTGTAATTTATATTCCCTCCGTTCCACAATTAATTACAATGTTGTGTTATTACAAATTCAAGATAATTCTTGTTTATTTATGCATTTCATTGATTGTCTGATAAAATGAAATATTCTTGTCACATTTTTTTAAATAAAACTTTGGTGTAGTTTATAATTATGTACTCCCTCCGTCCCTCAGTATTTATCCAGTATTCCATTTTGGGTTGTCACTCAATATTTTTCCACTTTTCTATTATGGCAATAAAAAATAAACACATTTCCAAGTTTACCATTCAAATCAAATAGCTTACACCATTTTCTCCCTACCCAAAAATAAAAACAGTAAATAGGTATGGGTAAAAAGAATTGATTCGATGGGTTGATACGAAAGTATCGGGGTAGGGAAGGCTTCGAGTGCCTTTGAACTCCACAAAACAAGATGAAGGAAGAGAAGAAGGGTGCCGGCAGTGGTGGCAGCCGGAACTCACGAGAGGAAGAGAGAGATTTTTAGGGTTTTAGTATTTCCATTCATAACTTGGCCAATTGTCGTACAAGTCCTTTTATAGTAAGGAGAAGCCAAAAACCCTTTAAACCTAATTACTATATTTTCTACCCTGGCGATTCAAGGAAAAGCGACGAGGTAAAGAACCGCAAAGAAACCCTCGAAGGAGCTTATAATTACACTCACCTAGGAAAATCTAAAGTACAATAATAATTATAAAGTAATCAAAATGCTAAATTAAATAATCCTTTTGCCATGCGGGAAGACGTCTAACCCGCGAACTCTTGCGCACGTCTGATACCACGTTTGCCTCCTCAGTCTCCACGTCCCGACCCATATCGGTCTCCATGTTAGACCCCAAATCACCATGGTCCCACTCCTCGTTCACCACCTCGAGTTCTTCATTCCTTGTATGCCCGCGGTCCATATCATTCATAACATGGGTGTAAAGAAAAATTTGTGGTGTGGGTAAAATTTGTTTTTTTCTTTTGTTTTTTGCCAATTCACCCACCCCAAAAGTAATAATGTTAGGGCATTCTAGTCAACTTGCCCCCTATCCTTCTTTTCCTTGGTAATTGTGTCCATTTCAAAGTGGACAAAAACCAAAGGACGGAGAAAGTACGTTTTATTTTTTATTTATGTCTCAATCTTTAAAAAAATAAATTAATTATTTTTAATTTCCTCCCATTTATAATCAAAATATGAATGAATGGAGTAGTATTGTTTTAGGTATTTATTTTGTTGGTAAAAGAGACAAACAACTAATCCCCACATAAGTTTGTCTACTCTCGGAATTAGCAATTAGTTGTATAATACTGATTATGACACCCACGATTGCTCTTGTCTAACATAAAAGTATATTGACCGTGTTAATTTTTATTTTGTTGCTAAACAACTTTTAATGAAAATATATTGTACATTACTAAATTTCTTTTAAAAGTATAATTGTAATTAGATTTAATAATAAAAAATAAATAAATACAGTTATAAACATTTATTATAAAGTACGTATTTAAGAAACTAGTTCATTTATTATAAAGTATTTAAGGAACTAGTTCATTTAATACAAGTTAAGCTTCGTTTGGTAACAACGTTTTCGATTAGCGTTAACGTTTTGAATAAAATTTTAACGGTACAGATTAATTCTGAAAACGCTAACATTAAAGACTATCGTCAGATAGCTTTTTTCAAAACGCTAACCTAATTTTGAAGCTGATGCCAAACAGGGCCTTAATGTTGTTTTAAAGAAAACAAAATTATAGATTATTGTAACAATTATCTAAAATAATCCCAACTTACCTCTTCTTTAAAAAACAATCTCATCTTTCACTGTAATGCATAATAATTCCAACTTTATTAAAATTTGCGAGTTTTAGACCATTGTTAAGTTGTTAACGGCGGGTTAAGTTGGGAATATTTTTGATGAATTTTCATTTTTCATTTTTTTAATTTTTATTTAAATTTTTAAAATGACTTTCTACTTCAATTTCTTTTTCCTCTTTAAAGATTAGTCTTATCTTATAAAAATATCAAAAATGAGGAAAATAATTAAAACCTAAAAAAATAAATGAAATAATTAAGTTAATCAGTAAAAATTAAACTGAAATTGAAAAGAAACAAAAAAAACCGAGTGGAGTGCTCTAACATTTTACGCAATATACGGAGTATTAATATACTACTTTTTTTTGAAAGAACAGATAAAGTTAGGATTAATCCAGATAATTTTTCTTTAAAATAAGAAATGTTAGGTACTACTTCGTACTTTGTATAGTGGTAAAATGTTAAAACCCACTACTCAATATATTTTTATTTTAGTTCTTACAAGTTTCAGGTTATTTTATATTGATTACTTTTTTCATTAATTTCGTATGATTTAAGATACTTTTTCATTTTCGTTATTTTTATATCTTTTTTTTAAATTTTACCAACGTTAGACTAATCTTTAAAAATAGAAATAATGGAGGTAGAAAGTAATTTTAACTCGTCGTTAGTAACTTAACGAAACCAAAATTTGCAAATTCTAATAAATTTGGAATTATTATGCATCACAATGAAAAGTGAAATTATTTTTGAAAGATCGGATACAGTTACAATTATTCTGGATAATTTTTTCTAGACTATTTAACTTGGGAACCATTATGGAAAATATAAAGTATATAATTAATTTAGTTTAGTGATAAAAATATTTTTTATATATAAATTATGACACAATTTTAAATTTTTATTATTTATTAACGCCGAGTGTGCTAAATATGATGAAAATTTTAATAATAATAATAATAAATTTAATAAAAATAAATTTAAAACTACACGTAAATAATTTTGGGCGAAAGAACATACGGAGTATTTGATATTTTCGTGTCAACAATTTAATTACCTATCTAAATACGGAGTACTTTAAATTAAAGCTAATAATTTAAAAACTCTAAAATAGCTACATGCTAGGAGTTGCTATTGCCCCTGAAATTGACATGTCCGGTCGGGAGTTGGTCGGCGGGGCGGCAGTGTAATTGCCGAGCTGCCACTAAGTCCGTCGACGGCGACGCCGGCGGCGAGCGTTTCCGAAGACACGGTGTACGTAGCGGTGGGGAGGGATGTGAAAGAGAGTGAATATACTATAGCTTGGGCTCTGCACAACTCTGGAGGTAGAAGACTTTGCGTTCTTCATGTACACACTCCAAGTAAGCTTTTTTTGTAACATCAGATATCTTAATTTGTTTGTTCTTCGTTTTGGGAGTTAATTTGAAGTGATTGCATATTTTGGGAGTTTGTAGTCTCAAATCGAACTTGCTGGGATTAGAATTGATCTTAGGGTTCCTGCTGAGTGAATTTTTGAATTTGAGGAATACCTCTTGCAGGGCAGTCCAATGTGAGATAACCAATTAAGATTTTTGAGGAATCAAACAATTTCATTTCACTCTTTACATTAGTTGTTTACATAACATTACGGGCTTTACATCATTTTAGCTTTAGCTGTAAAAATTGTCTTGTTTTATGTAAAGCCATCACATGATTTTAATTACAAGGTCCTTGTCTTTAGAGTATATGTTAACATTTACTGGTTGTCACCTGATGTGATAAACATCATTATGCATTTTTGAAATAGAAATCCACAGCGAAGTACCTCGTATGTCTCCTCCTAAAGGGTGGAACAGCTTTCCTCCATTTCTGCTACCATATTTTCAGTGTTTGTTATTGGTATGATCTCGATGCCATATACTTACAACTATGTCTAACATGTGGTGCATTTCAACTTTTGGTGATTCTTCAGTGGGTAATAAATCTGGGATTGACCTGGAAGGATATCAAGTTAGATCATATCAAGAAAAAGAGAGGCAAGACATTATCAAGATTTTAGACAAATATCTTCTCATTTGTAGCCGAGCAGGGGTATTGTCTTTAATCTGTCTTTTAGAGGATGTTAATTTCCATTTTCTATTAATCTGCCAAGCTTCTTAGGTTGATAAGTGTGCCAAAACCTTTCCTTTCTAAAGCTGCATAAAATGATGCATGAAAGAGTCAAATATATACGGAGTAGTTACTGAATCTTCTCTATTTTCTCATGTTAACACATCATGATTATCACCCCACCTTAAAAATCCCAACTATGTTGCACCATTGAGGTTAGTTAAAAGTTGAAGTGCATCCCTAGAAGTGGGTGAATTATCTGAAACGGAAAATGTGTCTTAAGTGTAAAAATTGTTTATGAAAAATTCCAGGATTTCTATAATGCATTCATGAAGATTTGGAATGATGTTAATGGATTCAATTATGAGCAATGATCGGCTTAATCTTGCAAGTTTACAAGAAAAGAAAAACCCAAAGTATACTGTGGTTGATGGATATGGCACACTATATTCCTGGAAGAGTAATGTTAAGGGATCGGTTAGTAGTCATAGTCCAGTGCCGCGAGGAGAGCGAATGAGAAGGGATAACAGGAGAGTCCTCCTTGTCACCCGTGGCTACAAAAGTCAATGGCCTTAGATTAGGATGATTTGTTTTAAATTTTGAATGAGTAAATTCTATAAATAGTCCTTTATAACAAAGCGTTTTCTATATATAGTCCAGATTTAACAACAACAACATCACCCCAGTGCCTCAAAGACTCTCACCCATTGCAGGGTAAGGGGGGGGGGGTCTGTTGTACGTTACCCTCGTTACTTGACCCCTATATTTAAAACATAGAGCGGCTATTTCCGGATATATAGTCCTCAATTCTAAGATACTATGTTTGTGATCCCATATTCCATGATCAGTCTTTTGGACCCAAATATGTTTTTCCACATGTAATCCCCAAAGGGACGATTCTGAAAAAGTTTTCAAGTATAGAGGACCTCAAACATAATATCTTCGAATTGAGGACTATATATGGACAAATCACATGTTATAAAGGAAAATTTATAGGATTTACTCATTTATATTATTTAAGCAGGTTACCTACTTACCTTCATAAAATATTTTTTCTCTGCGGGATGGACCTGTATCTTTTTCTCTAGAGTATGTAATAATATTTGTATGTTTTGATTCTTTAAGGCTCAGGCAGACATGCTTCTCGTTGAAATGGACTCTGTAATGAACGGTATAGTGCATCTCATTTCTAAGCATGGTATCAGGAAGCTTGTTATGGGAGCAGCTGCCAACAAGTGTTACTCAAAGTAAAAACAGTAAAGAATTGCTTCCCATAATCTTCCCGAATTCCGATGCAATGTAAAAATCGAATAATACTCAGAAAGAGCATCCCATTTTGCCAATTCTCTTAGTTATAAATACCTTGTTCCTTAAATCGACCTTACAAGCTCCGTCCCAACAAATAAAAGGTGATATACACTTTTCAAATTAAGTAGTGTGTGTGTGTGTGTGTGTCTATGCATTTCTCAAAAAGAAAATGTCCACAACTATTTATTGCTTTCTTCCATTACTATCATTTTGCAAAAAGTTACATTTAGCAGTTGGTCAGTCTTTTTCAGATCGTACATTAAAATTGCAGGAGAATGACAGAGATCAAGTCTAACACAGCTATATATGTGTGTGAACAAGCGCCACCGTTCTGTCAGATCTGGTTTCTTTGCAAAGGGAATCTTATTTATACAAGGTATAGTTTTGTTGGAAACTGTATAGAAGCTCAGTGTAGATTAATATAGTTGAGATGCAGCAAGTTTTTATTTAGTATTCTGAAAACAAGATCAGAATATTATTTTTTGATAGCTGCGGTACAATGTGATTATTTATCACATCTCCTTTCTCCTCTCCTTTATTAGATGATATTTGGTTTCTCTCTCAATCACACAACCAAACAATTTTGAGGAGCACGGGCTAACAGCATCCACCATATGTGTGCAGAGAAAGTAGACCAGTGAGAGTTAATGCAGAGGTTGTATCTCCACCACTTGGGACAAGTTCTGATGTAGATAGTGTACACCAGAGCTTTCTAACTTCTCCAAGGAAAAATTTTACAGAAGGGCCCAATAATCAAGTAGATGTTACAAGATCTTTTTCAGAATTTCAGGGAGTAGAATCATATAGCATCATCAAAAAACATTCTGAATATCCTAGCACAACTAGCACAGGTCGGATGTTTTTACCTAGCAGTTCAAATGTACTAGGAAGGTCTGATTTTTGGGATGGGGTGGCATCACTTTTTCCATCATCTTCACCTGGAGATATATGCGAGGTTTCATCTCCAGCATCTATAACCAGGTGCAAAGGAGGGGGGGACACTTCACCGACCACTGCAGTAAGCTCCTTATTCCTTATAACTTTGTTATGCTCAGTCTATGTGCGGAGGGGACACTTCATCTAACAACTTTTTCCCTGGTTTGCGTTGAAATGAGTTATTAATTGACCAAGTGACCAACAGGTTGAATGTGTGGATGATGAGCTTAACGATAGAATTGAACAATACATTATTGAAGCAGAAAAAACCAGACAAGAAGCTTTTGAACAAACAAAGAAGCGTATGAAAGCTGAGAAGGAAGCACTTGAAGCTAGGCGCAGGGTATAATTTGAATCTTCATTTATTCAATTTCTTATTCTTTATTATTTCTTTTTCCCTTCAACACATTATGATAGGACTAGTCATCTAGCGGCATAACTATGCACTAAATATGCGGATAGAGTAGGATGCTAAAATGATTCATTGTGAATTACTAGTACTTAATTTGTGATATTATTTTATGATTGCTAGTGAGTTATTAGAGTTTCCAATTCCATACATGGTCATTTAAGGGTCTGTTTGGAACCCGGAATATCCTAGGGCAAGAAAATGGGAGGGATAATAGTATAACATATAGTATATCACTGTAGCTTTTTGAAGCCTTTTGTGTACGCCAACGGGTACTCCATAATTTGGAAGGCAAGCTATTTGTCAGACTCCATCTTCCATAAATAAAAGTTCACTGTTTGTCTTCTATTATTAAAAAATTAGAAAATAATGAGATATAGTAGGTGATTGAGTGTGATGGGCCCCAACTGTAATGGAGTAAATGGGCATACGTTTGAGGAGAGAGAAAATGAAAAGTAAAACAAATAATAAAAAATAGAAATAAGCATGATGCCATTGGAGTGTGAGAATAAAAAGCAACTGCATAACACTCTGAGTCATCCACTTTGACATTTAGCTGACCATTTTTTGAAGTATGCGTTGGAGTTGCTCTAAAGCTCAAATTATTTTACACAGTTGTGGATACTCATTTTATTTCTTTGTGTCTATAATACATAAAAATCTTTCTAGGTAGGGGCAACATGTACCGACACTCACTCTAGTCAAATGCCTTGCATGGTTGTTGTTGTCTATAAAGACCAAGCAATCTAATTATACGTAAATTTTTTGAAGAATTACTCGTATTTTGTTTTCCTGTCCACTTCTTACTTTTTTATGTAAAACCAAACACGAGAATAAATTCTCCTAGCACTTTTTCTTTCTTTCTCTACCACTTTGTGTGTAACTTCCTTTTCCTAACATTTTCCATGATCCAAACAGATCCTATGGGAAATTGGGAACATTCATTCCAGATTTTTGTTTTGCATTCATTGCTGTTACATGATTCCATATATTTCCTTGGTTTTAATAGATGGATAGTATAATACTATGTAGATGTTTGAGAGTGATGTTCGCTTTTCAGGCTAATGCATCTGGAACAATGTATGCCGAGGAGTTCAGGCGAAGGAGTGCAAGTGAGGATGCGCTAGCAAGGAGAAAGGATGAAGTTGAACAGATGACAACGGAGATAGCTAGAGTCAGGGAAGATCTTCAGGCTGCACAAGAACAGAAATCTTCAATGGAGAGTCAGATTGCGAACTCCGAGAAGACGGTACATGAGTTGGAGCAGAAGATGTTCTCTGCAGTTGAACTTCTGCAGAAGTTCAGGAAAGAGAGAGATGTTTTGGAGGTGGAGCGTGACAATGCACTTAGAGAGGTTGAGTATGTGAAAGAAAAACTAGACAAAGAAGCTTCAAATTCATCTACAGCTCAATTCTTTGCCGAATTCTCACTTTCAGAAATCAGAGAAGCAACTTCCCATTTTGACCCTAACTTAAAGATTGGTAAAGATGGTTATGGAACCATTTATAGAGGTCTTGTTCGCCAGACACCAGTGGCAATAAAGATTTTGAATCATAATAGCTCACAAGGTCTATCGGAGTTTCAACAAGAGGTTAGACTTTCCTGGTTTTCCCCCCTATTCGTGATCATATTCTGGATTGGATGGCTTTACCCTACCTCTACGGTCTGATATAGGAAGTTACTTTGGTATTGTGCTTTTGTTTTTTAGGGAAATGTTTGGATCACAGACAATTCTATGGAAAGTAAAAAGAATGCTAAGCCAAGTTGGTTTCTTATATTTGATTCTACCTTGGGAATGTAAAAGTATGATTAATTAATTTATTATTTTGTTGCTGATATATTTAGCTTTCTTGGTCATGCAATCAGCATACATCATAAGCAACTTAATCACAACTAGTTAGGATCGGTGACATTAAATTTAGAATGTCAATCAACTAGCTAATCTTTTGAGGGACCGTTACTTAATCATTAATTATTTAATTCTGTGTAGTATTATATAATCCAGTATAAAGGAATAGATAAACACAATAAATTTGGATAAAAATCTATGTTTTCACTCAAATTGTCTTTCCTCTACTTTATTTGGATAAAAATCTATATTCTCTCACTACTTTATTCCCTTATATCTTGTTTGGGTTCAACTTGATCCTTAGCAATACTCTCTCAAAGGAGGATAAATTATTGCAAAATGATTATGGTCTATTTTTTTTCATTTCCTGTTAGGTCAATATGTTGAGTAAGTTGAGGCATCCAAACCTAATCACTCTTATTGGAGCCTGTCCAGAGTCATTGACACTTGTCTATGAATATCTTCCTAATGGAAGCCTAGAGGACCGTATCAACTGCAAAGAAAACACCTCACCACTCTCATGGCAAACTCGGATCCGTATTGCAATGGAGCTATGCTCTGCTCTTATATTCTTACATTCCTGCACTGATCAAGGCATTGTTCACGGTCACCTAACACCTGCAAATGTTTTGCTTGATTTCAACTTTGTGAGTAAGCTAAGTAACTTTGGAACTTGCCGTGTTCTCTCTCAAGATGAACTTATTTGGAGAGCTGACAAAAAAGGCACTTTTGTATATATGGATCCAGAGTTCCTTGCAACAGGAGAGCTTACTCCAGAATCTGATGTCTATTCATTTGGAATCATATTGTTGAGATTGCTGACTGGAAAGCCTGCATTAGGAATCACAAAGGAAGTTCAATGTGCCTTGGATGAAGGGAACTTAGAAGATATTCTGGATCCAACGGCAGGTGACTGGCCGTTTGTACAAGCTAAACAGTTGGCTCACTTAGCTATGAGTTGCTGTGAGATGAACCGTGGGCAGAGACCTGATCTGGATTCAGAGGCGTGGAAGGTGCTAGAACCGATGAGAAGGGCTTCATGCAGGGTCTCATCTTTTCAACTACTAAGTTCGGATGAGCGTTGCCATGTTCCACACTATTTTCTATGTCCCATTTTTCAGGTTAGCACATTTAAGTCGTCTGGTGATGTCCTTTTTAGGGCTTATTAATTTAATTCATACCATGTCCGGGAAGCGGGTGTCTATGATGCTAATCCCGAACCCATTCTGGATCCCACTATGGGTTCTCAAATGGGCCCCACTAGAGTAGAATGTAGGTAGGGGGGAAATCCGAAAATGCTTGTGCCGCCAACAGAAGTGGTAGCACCAAACCCACCAACACCATTTAAAAAGCATCTTTTTATGGGTTTTTAAACACTTTGATGAATTCATATATCTGTACCCCCCCCCCATTAAAATGGCAAATAGTAGGCAAGAACTTGAAAAAATACAACCCAATGAAATTAAAAAGAAGGTTTGGGGAGGGTGTGCGTGTGTCTATGCAGACCTTACTCATATTCTAAAGTAGAGAGATTGTTTCCAAGAAACCAGATGTTAAAAAAAGCCTCTTTGTTAGTGGTTTTAGTGCGCACTTCTATCGGTGGCACTAGCAAAACTGAAAAAAAAAACCTATTTGCCATTAGAGTTTTGACATGTTTTTCTTGATGATTGGAATATGCAGGAAATCATGGAAGACCCTGTGGTTGCAGCCGATGGTTTCACCTACGAGGCCGAAGCTCTTCGAGCATGGTTGGACAGCGGTCAGGACACGTCGCCAATGACCAATCACAAGCTCTCACACACTAACTTTGTGCCAAATCGCGCCCTTCGTTCCGCTATACAGGAATGGCTCCACCAGCATTGACTCTTCATCTTGTGTATGCAACTCTTAAAACTACGTCTTTCTTTGTTGCATAGATGAAGTATATATATACGGAGTATGTCGTTATCTGATTAGCTGGTATATACCATTTGATCACGATATACAGGTAACTTTATGGACCTTAGTACATAGAATGGTTATCTGTATTAGTTCTTGTTGAGAGATAAAGACCCAATTATTAGTCCATGGAAAAATACTCCTTCGGTTCAAATATTTCTTTTCCGGTTTGACTTGACACGGAGATTAAGAAAACTTAAAAATTGTAAAGACTTTTCATGTTTATCCTTGATGTGACAGAAAAAAGTGAATAATGAATAATTTGAGTTTCTCAATGTAGTACCATATATTTTTATTTCCCATTGTAGTATCACTGTTCAATGTCATGTCTACTGGACGTCTGGACATTGTTCAAGTAAATGTCCACCGCTACTATACATTGTTTTCGCTACTAGATATTATTCAAGTATTATTTAGAAAATAAAAAGTTTTATGTACTATATTGGAAAAAGCCATATGTTTTAATACTATTCATCAAGGTTGAATATGGGCTGACACGAATAAAAAGAGAGGCCCAAAAGCTATTGGACACTGGACAGCCGAAGGGGAGCTGGATTGAGCAAAGGAGCATGACCCAATCCCCTCCAGCCCAAACCGACTTGGGCTTGGGAATATGTGGAAGATATGATTGAGGGCCTGCTTTAGACCGCAGTTTCAAGCCCAAAAGAAGCTAGGCTTTGGATGAATACTGGTAAACTAATGTTTCGACTGGTTCGACATCGACTTGGTCTTGTAAACTAGGATCGACCGTTAGTACCTGTAGTTCTTCCAAATGAGAGGCACATTCAAATTGTCTGTTGTTTCGCTTTTTGATATTTGACTGAAATTATTTTTAAATTATTTTATATGAAGAATGGAGTAGAATTTAAAAAAATTAGATCTTTAAAAACTACATCAAAAGATCTAGGGGTGAGCAAGTACCCAACCGATACTAAAATTTCTCGAAAAAATTGAGAATACCGAATCGAAAAATACCGAACTAAAAAAGTATCGAGAAGGAACATAAACGTACCGAACCTCTTGGAAGAGATTAAAATATGAGCTTTAGATAACTAGAGTTACAAGTTTGAAAAAACTCAACAAATAGTGTGCTCTTTTTACTCCTCCACCCATGGTTTTTGTTTCGTTTCGATTTCGGTTTATGACATTTTGATTAAAATTATTTTCAATTAAATTTAGAAAATATTCTGTATTATTTTAACAAACACCGAGTAACAAAAAAAAGTATGTGAAGAGAAATTTTTAATTTAACTATGTACATAATACTCTAAGAAAAAAATACTGGTATAGGAAGAATATTTACTCCGTGATATAGAAGTCTAAAATCTACTTGTAAAGCATGTAGAGATAAATGATGAAAAGAAGACACTGAATCGTCACTACTGATCAAAATTAACGTTGTCTTTACTTAAAAGTCAGGGCTTTCTCACATGGAGGACAAGAATTAATTAGCGTTAGGACAATTATGCAATATTTATAAGGGTCCGGTATACGAAATTGATGAAATTGGAATAGAATTGGAATTGAAATTCCATAAGATTCAATTCCATAGAATTGAATTTACTAATTCCCATTCATTTTTTGCATTATCAATTCCAAATTCACATAATTTTTGTGCTACCAAACACCAGAATTGGAATTGAACTCTTCAATTCCAATTCCATAGTTTGAATTCCGTGTACCAAACGGAGCCTAAGTATCTCTTTGATATTTTAGACATTTTAGGTGTGTTAGAACTGTTTTGTGGGATGCACAAAAAATTAGTATATATTCCTTCGTCCCAAATTAAGGTCTTGTTTGGATGTTGGTTGTTTGTATCAACGGTTCTAAATAGCTGTTTAATTTAGCTGGTTTGACCGGCAGGATGAGTTGGTTGTTCGTTAAAAATGTTTGGTAGGAAAATAGCTGTTTCGATATATATATATATATATATATATATATATATATATATATATATATATATATATATATATATATAAAGGAAATTTGAAGGTTATTTTACAATGGGTAAATGGAGTTAAAAATAACAATACGGTACAGTTGTGTTTTTACCGCTGTTGCAGTAAAGGCGGCGGTGGCGGTGGTGGTGGTGCTGCTGAGCTGTTCTTGGGTGGTTCACGGCGGAGACACTGTTCACTATGGTCAAAACACTCCTCGGAGGCCTGGCTGCGACAACAACTTTGTTCTGGTAACATTTTCCTTTCCCTTTTTTTATTTAAAAAATATGTAGCATTTCCCGTGCCCATTTAACTTGGTGTTCATGCTGTCTGAACAGAAACCCTATTGTTTTTCTTTAAAATTAAAATAAAAAAATTCATAATTTTCTCATTCTTAAAAAGATGGAACGCCCACCCAGAAATGTACTTACATTATATTTCAGCTGACGGAGTAGTGAGTGGGTAAAACATGATCGTATATTCGGTCCTTGAAAAATAATGAGTGGGTAAATAAAGGTATTCAATTTTATTCTAGTTCTCACACTGTCGCTGCATGCCAGAATTCGTTAGTGATGGAGAGCTACGGTATATGCCCTTGTCTCCATGCAACTTCAATTCTCACAATCATTCTCCGTGCGCGCGCGCACACACACACATAATAAAACGTTCACACTTCACTTGGCATGGACGACCCATGCAGGGTGTCCACCCGCACAGAGTCTCATTTTACCAGATGTTCATTATTATAATTCTAATTACTTAATATTCAAATCGTTAAAAAATGATCATTAAAAATCAGATCCAACACTAATTTTACAGCACAAGTACTCTTAAAAAAATAAAACAGAGACAACACGCACGTGAATTTTGCGCAGGACAAATCTTATTTTTTCACATTTTGGGGCCGGCCGCCTGAAACGACATTTAATTATGACAGAATTTGTTTGCATTGTGAAGGTAAAAGTTGGAGTGTGGATAGAGGGGAAGGAAGAAATGGAATTTGTTGGGGTGGGTGCAAGATTTGGGCGTAGCTTGGAGTCGAAAGAGAAACGCGCTAACCAAACACGCCTTACACTTGCTAATCCTACCGACTCTTGTAACAACACGCCGAGGATTAAGGTTCTTTCTTCTCTCTCTCTCGTAATTATAGTGTCTTAAGACTTTAATTTGTGCCCAAAAAAGTCATCATGATTACTTGATTACTGTTCCTGGGCCTGTTTGGGAATAGCGTTAGAGATTAGCGTTAGCGTTTTGGATAAAATTTTAACGGTGGAGATTACTTTGAAAACGTTAACGCTAAACGCTACCCGTAGATAGCCTTTTCAAACCGCTAACGCTATTCCCAAACAGGGCCCCTGTCTCTCTTTTTTTTTTGACATTTTGCAAATCTCTATTACAATAATTTCGTTATTATCTCAATTTATATGTTGATATATGCTCTCACCGCTCCACAAAACTATTCCTCTTTCGTTTTTTTTGCTTTTTACAAAACACTTCCACTTTCTATTAAAATACCACTTTTACCCATACTTTTTCATACCCTACCTATCACATCATACTTTTTTCACTAATAACCAAACTATCTCATCTTACTTTTTTCCATCACATCAGGGGCAAAATTGGAAAGTCAACCAAAATTACACTTTCCTTATTTTTCCCATAAGTCAAAACCGGAAGGGTTTTGTGGAACGGAGGGAGTATAAAATAAAAATGTAATACTCCGTATTTCAAAACAAATTTATTGGAATTAAATATTTAAATTTATATTATAACACAATCTTTTTTTCTCGATAATTTGTGGTAGTATATAAGAAGTAATTCTCTACTTGTTTGACAACAACTTTAACATTTTAAAACTAACAAAGTTTAACGACATTATTATTGTTTAATTTTAATTGTTTCAAAATTAATGTCTGTCATTAAAAAAAACAAGTATTGTGTGGTTCGCATATTTTTTTCTTTCTTCTGCATAAATTCCAACAAGAGATTTCATTATTTTAAAACTCCTTGAAAGTTATAGCATATAGTTTAACTTGGGATAGAAGAAGTACCCAAAAAGACAAAAAAATCCTTTATTTTAATTTATTTTATTTTTTCCATTTTTTTCGTAAATGAGCTCAACATTTTTTTTAAAAAAAAACTATTGTTGCATAAAAATAACAGCTGGGTGGTGAAGCAATATTGGCGCATAGAGGGAATTGCAGTTTTGCTACCAAAGCAAATGTTGCAGAGGCAGCTGGTGCCTCAGCTATCCTCATCATAAACAACCAAACAGGTCTTTATATATTCATATCTTTCTTTTTCTTCATAATTTTAGAATGTATCTTCTTCTTAATTAAATGTAGGTAGTATAGGCAAGTTTTTTGGTGGTCCTTATTAGGTTCGTGCTTATTTTATAAACTTAAATACATAAAATGATTGTATGTATTGGGTTTTGTAGAAAGAAAGAGATCCATCTATGAGGTTACGCCCCTAAATATTTGTCCACTTTTGACTTTTTTCAGTCAAAATGGTAAACTTTGACTTCAAATTAAATAAAAGTGATATTAGATATTGATACAAAAATAATTTTATTATTAGATTTTTATATGAAATATATTCAAAATATTATTTTATCTAATTAATGTACAATTTAAATTTTATTTAACTACAAGTCAAAAGTTGAGAATGATTGACTGAAAAAATCAAAACCGTAAAATTAAAAAATAAAATCGTAAAAATCAAAAGTTCTACAAAACAAGAAGTGAAAAGACTATATATAATTTTAGCAAATAACTAACGAAAATAGGTATAATGAAAGGAGAATTCACTTAAATAGCACTAAAACATAATCAGTTTCCCTAAATAGCATCATATGTGTTTTTACCTAATGTAGCGCTTTTAGTCATTATCCATTAGTCATTATTCAAGTAAATATTCGTCATTAATGGACATAATTGCTCTTTATGGACATTATTAAGTGTTATTTAGAGAATAAAACAATTTAAGTACTATTTAGGGGAATGCCTTAATTTAAGTTTTAGTGTTATTTAGTGCAAATATTTCATAATGAAAATGATAAAAATTTGACAATGTGAATAGTAATTAGAAAGAACATTTAAGAACGGAGGAAGTAATAGAATGCTATTGTGACATCCATGAGTTTGGTGTCGAAAGAATCCTCTCTAATTTAATTGCCTTTCCCAAAAGGATAAGCCCCATTTCCGGGGGGGCCTGAGAGGAGGTAGTTAGACTTTAATCACAGATTGGTGGGATGTAGTTGATCCTGCAACTAGTACTTACAGAGGTCCTATGTTTAGCATGGTTGCCTTCAGTGCAGTTGTTACGAATCGAACTCAAGTTTACCCCCTTGACAGCACTTGCCTTTTGCAAAGTGCGCATCGCGCACCAACATTTAATTGCCTTTCTTGAAGATAGAAGTGGATTATTCATTTTAGGCTTATGGTTGCAGAACTGATGAAGATGGTATGTGGGGAAAATGAGAGTGATCTGGATATTGGCATACCTGCAGTCATGCTCCCACAAGATGCTGGCAAAATTTTGATACAAAATGTAATGAATAACTCATTAGGTAAAAACCCTAATATCCATATTAATCAATTGTTTGCATAAACCCCTAATTCCCAAATTAATCTTACTTGATGCATGGCATTTCATTGTTTGCATAAATTTAGGCTAGGGTTGGCCATTTTATTTTTTATTGCAAAATTTCTGACTAACTAAAACCTGTCAAAATATAATGTCAAAAAACACGACACATAAAATGCCAAATTGCAAACGTTTCAAATTGTCATATAGGCAATGTTGTTTTGGCGGAACACTAAATTTCACGCCGCGTACGGAGATTCCGTTCAGGCTTGTTATAGTTATGCCGGCTAAATATGAATGAGCGAACCCTTTAGAAATCGTTACAACAGACAATATCATGCTAATACTGAATTACCCGGGCATTGTTCCGATAAATAATGATGCCGCTAATAATATATCTGTGTATATAAGTATGGGTGCAGCTATACTCTCCAAAACGGCCACCATTTGACGTAGCCGAAGTGTTTTTGTGGTTGATGGCGGGTTCGACCATTTCTTGTGCGTCTTATTGGTCGGCACGGAGCGCCAGGGAAGCGGCCATTGCTCACGATAAATTCCTAAAGGTAGTGTTTAGCATTTCATTTCAATTTTTGTACTCCCTCCGTCTCTTAAAACACTCCATATTTCTATTAAAAACTCACTTTTACCCTTACTTTTTCATACCCTATCTATCACATTATATTTTTTCACTAATAACTAAACTATTACATCTTACTTTTACTCATCACATCAGGGGCAAAATTGGAAAGGCAACTAAAATTGCACTTTCTTTATTTTGCCCCAAAGTCAAAACAAGAATTTGCAAAACTTGAAATTCAAGCAAAGGAAGACAAAAGAATTTGCAATTGACCTTCAAGATTTTCCAGACATAAAATTTGAGCAAAATCCGGATTTGAAATCCAAATTTGAGTTCCCAAACATGCTCAAAAATAATAGTTCACCTCATTTCCATTTGCCATACTATTTAAATTCTTGTATCAATTATTGTATTAATTACAAATAAATAGGTTAAGTTTTATATGGTTGTTGTGGTATATATTAGTGTTAGAATATAAAATATTTTTTACGTCTAGCTATTACCACGAGCTTAAGCTTTTTATTAAGTTGGTTTTCTGGATGTGGTATCAAAGTCTAGTGTTACTGATCTAGAAGTTACTAGTTCGAGTATTACCGTCGCCTTATTTTTTTAAAAAAAATGTTTTTACGTGTAAGGTTCGAGTAAAAACAAATCTTGCGTGCATGCACAATTAAGTTTGATTGAAGTTACGATCGAGTTAATTTCTTGACAAAGTAGTACCTTATAACAACTTGAAGTATGTATATTGCAGGACGATGACAATAAGTATGAATACCACGAGGAGGAAGAGGGGACACAATGTAGTAGCGGTGTGTTGGAAATCAACGTAGTTTCTGCAATCCTTTTTGTTCTTCTTGCCTCCTTCTTCCTCGTTACTCTTTACACGCTAAGGTCGTTTTGGTTTATTGAGGTCTTGGTGGTTCTCTTCTGCATCGGTGGCGCCGAGGTACAAGTTTTTTTTCTTCTTCTTTAAATTGGTTTTGGTTTTGGTTTTTCTTTAAATGGGTTCGAATCTCATTATTTTAAACCAAATAATGTGGCAATTTTGTGAAGCAAACAACCCATTATTAATTACTCCCTCCGTCCCATGAAACATGGGACTTTTGCTTTTTAGGAGGGATTTAAGGGGAGTGTATTTTGGTATTGAATTTCCAAAAATGTCCTTTGATGTGATGGGTAAAAGTATGATTTGATGGATAGATTATTAGTTTAAAGGTATGCTGTGATAGTTAGGGTATGAAAAAATAAGGGGTAAAAGTGACTTTTTAATAGAAATGAGAAGTGTTTTGTGGGACGGATAAAAAAAGAAAGGAGAAAGGTTTCATGGGACGGAGGGAGTAGTATATATTTCTGCATTTGGAATTGACCATTGTTGCATATTCAATGTTTGATTCTATAATTCATTCTATTTGCATGCAGGGTCTGCAAACCTGTTTGGTCACATTGCTTTCATGGTATCTTAACTTATTTTTTTATGCATGTCTTACTCCCTCACCTTCCACAATTTTCTTCAGCTTTTGGTTTACCGTGTATGACTGAAATTATTTTTAATTCAATATAAGTGTAAAACTTTTTGGTTTACAAATGATCAATAAAAATAGGCTAAGGGAGTACCAAACAAGAGATGTAACTGTTTTGGTTTAGTAAATGACCAATAAAAATATGTACGAAGTATAAAGAAACAAAATACAATATGAATATATGATCATAGTAGTTGTGAAGATTACTTTGCCACAGACAGATGGGGTATTATTTCTGAAGTAAAGAAAAATTTAAAATCATGCCAAAATTACCCTACAACTAACAACGATTTGATATAGTTTCAGATGCTTTGAAAACGCTGCCGAGACATTTGTGAAAATACCTCTCCTTGGTGCAATGTCACATCTGACTCTGGCGGTGGCTCCCTTTTGCATCGCGTTCGCCACCGCGTGGGGTGTTTTCCGGCACGTCTCCTTTGCATGGATAGGTCAAGATATACTTGTGAGTGTGGTTAATATGGTTTATTTTAATTTCATGATTTTGTCAAAGCTAAGGTTTGTGACATGCATGCTTTTATGTTGCTATCAAATTATTAATTACTTGGTTTTGTGACAGGGCATTGCATTGATCATCACAGTTCTCCAGATTGTTAGAGTGCCTAATCTCAAGGTGAAAAAACATCACATAGCAATTTACTTTTTCTTCTTCCATAGCCAATATTGCCACGTACTTTGACATGCCCATATATATAAGCATTTCATATGATTCTAATTTACTCCCTCCTCCCAAATTGTTTGCAACATTTTGAAAAATGTACAAAATATCATCTCTTTTAAAATCATTTTATTTATAAATTGGTAAAGAAATAAAAAGCAAAAATTACATCGTTCAAAAGTATGTCAAAATGAGCAAACAAACAAAAGTCACTGAGATTCTGAAATAGTAAGTGTGACATTCTTTTTTGGACGAGGGAGTATATTTTATGTTATACATACTACGGAGTACTAGACTTTAATGAAACTACATACTCCTTCGGTTAACTAATAAAAGCATTCCTATTTTGACTTTAGACCAAAATAAGAATTGTATATATGTAGTTGACTTTTTAGTTTTATTCCTATTGTGATAGGTAAGAGTAAGATGTGATAAGTAGGTTTTTAGTGAAAAAGTATAATGCGATAATTAAGTAGGGTATAAATTAGTAGAGAAATTTACTTAAATAGCACTAAAACATAATGACTTTCTCTAGATAGCACTACATGTTTTTTTTCTTCCCAATATAGCACTTTTAGTCATTATGCATTAGTCATTATTCAAGTAAATATTCGTCATCACAAGACATTATGGACATTATTAAGTGCTATTTAGGGAGTAAAACAATTTAAGTACTATTTAGGGAAATGACTTAAGTTTTAATGATATTTAGTGCAAATATTTCAAATTAGTATGGGTAAAACTTAAAAGTGAGTTTAATTTTTAATATAAAGCGGGAGTATTTTGGTGAAAGTAGAAAAAGAAAGTGTTTTAGTTAACGATGGTAGTAGTATATATATATATTAGCATTCAAATAGAACGAAATAAAAAAAATTACATAGCAAATGATTTTTTGGTCTAAATATTTGTATTTTTTGGTCAGGTGGGAACAGTTCTCCTGGGTTGTGCGTTCTTTTACGACCTGTTTTGGGTGTTCGTATCGGAGTGGTTGTTCGAGAAGAGTGTGATGATAACGGTACGTACCCGTTGCACCGCAACGAACCTATACAATACATTTTTCTAACCACACGTTTATGTGTGTGTGTGTGTGTGTTCTTCGATACGGAAGAAGAATTATATATGTTATTTATGAACATTCTATAGTTAGTCATATATTTAAGATTTGAGTACGAATGTGCTCGATCGATACGTACTCTTCCCTAGCTATATCCGATACGACATTTCGTATCGTTCTTTTATTTCGTGTACGGGGCGTTACAGGTTGCTCGTGGGGGCATGAGCGGAGAAGACGGCATTCCGATGCTGCTAAAAATGCCGAGGATGTTTGACCCTTGGGGAGGATATAGCATCATTGGTTTTGGGGACATTATTTTACCTGGCTTGCTTGTTGCTTTCTCACTCAGGTGTGACGACCCCCATGACTATTTCATTCTTTCACATACACTCAGGTGAAACTATAAAATTTATTTTAAACGTGACATATTGTTGATGAAATATTTATACGTTAACATTATTTCATGAAACACGATCAATGAATAGAAAAAAATGAAAGATGGGTTGTTGTATCGAGCTAGGTCGTCAAAAGTGTGTTGAAATCATCCGAGGAAAAACTGGCCGGACCCGAATAAATTGGTCCGGACCAGAAATTTTCAAGCTCGAGTTCCGTTCTTACACTATTTCGATTTTCTGATTTTTTCGAATCCCGTCTGGTCCGGTTGTTATGGACCAGAGTTCATCCCTAGAGGCAAGGCATGTACGCATTTACTCTAGGGGAGGGGATGAAATTAAATGAGTTTGTTTGGTTTTGCACGGTCTAAAGTGTTACTTTTATAAATAATTACCTCTGTCCCTAAAACAATTACCTTCTTTGATCAACGTGCAAAATCTGGTGACTTTTAAAATGATTTTATTTACAAATTGGTAAAAAGAAATAAAAAAAATTATATTTCAAATCTACATCAAAAACACTACAAAACAAGAGGTGACAAAAATATTTTTTATCAAATGATTAATGAAAACATGTAAACAATAAAAATTATTGAGATACCGTATCGTAAAGAGGTAATTCTTTTAGGGACGGAGGGAGTAACATTTTTAAATATATTTTTAACTTGGATGGTTTCAGGTATGACTTTTTATCGAAGAAGAGCCTTCGAAGTGGTTACTTTCTATGGACAATGATGGCCTACAGTTTTGGTATGAAGACCCTTTTCCAAATTTTCTGCACAATAATAAGAATATTTTCTTTGAACATTTTTTTTTGTCTAGGGTTTGGTTCTTGGATTTTGTTTTGTAATATGTGACATTAAACTTAATTTAATTTCTACATTATTATTATAATACAGGTTTGCTTGTAACATATGTTGCCCTCAACTTGATGCATGGACATGGCCAACCTGCATTGCTTTACATAGTTCCCTTCACCTTAGGTATATATGTAATTACACATTGCTTATTCTTACATAAATCTCCGCTTTAGAGTTTGTTCTTTTGGATTGGAATTTGAGAGTTAGATGTTGTAAGAAATTGGAAAGAGCCGGAAGAAATTAAACTGGAATGAGTTGTAAAAAGCTGGAAAGAGTTGGAAAATGTTGGAAGAATTAAAGTGTTAAAACGTCGCTCAATTAAATGATCACCCAAATTAATATTTAATAAGTAAGAAAACTAAATTTGGATATAAAAAGAATTCATCCTTCTATGTATTTGAGGTGGTACGTTATGAATTTGAATATATAATGTTATTGTATATTCATCATATATAAAAACTTTATTTAAATCACTGTTAGAAAAAACTGGAAGAAACTAGAAAAAGTTGGGAGTTAAATTTTTCAACCCAAAAGAACGAGGCTTTAATGCGTTTTAATTTTTACCCACAAAAGTGATTGTGATTAATTCTCAGGAACAATTTTTGCACTGGGGATGAAGCACAGTGAGCTCAGTCAGCTATGGTCAAAAGGAGATCCAGATAGACCTTGTCCCCATTTCCATCAACTCCAGTTTAATTGATGAATAAGGGCTTAATTAGGAGGAAAGAAAAGCAAAGTGTAACTAGATGACATGCAATTTCTAACATTCACTAGTGTGGTAAATATATGGAAATTGTGCATTGTGCTCTCTGTAAGTTTGATTCAAGTCAAATTAGTCCCAATATATAGAAAACGTGAATCAAGTTAGTCCTTTGAAACGGAATTTATCTCCTAAAATTTTGAGTTATCACGTTAATTGATGCAAGAACATTGGCCCCATGTATTAGTTTTTGTGTCAATTAATGTAGTGTTAACTTAGAATTTCAGAAGACAAAATTTCGCATAAAAAAACTAATTTGATTCACATTTTCTAGTTACAGTCTTACAGAGACTAATTTGACTAGACCAAACTTACAAAGACCAAAATGACTCGTGAGTGCACTTACAGGGGCTAAAACGAGTATTAACTAACAAAACACGTTGATATTTTGATTAATTTTTACCAATATTAGCTTTCATCTTTGAGGTGAGATAGGTGAATTCAAATTTTTCCAAATTGAGATTTTGGAAATAGACATGATTTTGAGAATAAATTATGTTTCAGGTGATAGTAATTGACAAACTGTCCCTTATTTTCAAAACCTCATACATGGTACAATGTCTGAGCACACAACATTCCATTAATCTGGTCATTCTGGTGAATTGGAATACATAGTTAACTTAGTCAGTCAGTCACTACTTAAAAGGGCAAAAAATGCAGACAAGCTGCGGTTCAGATTTTGTGACCTGTCCTAAAATCGCAATTTTTTTAGAACTACCCGTGTGTGAAAAACAATGTTACAACAAGTCATATTTACATAAACAAGGAAAAAACGTCAACGAGTTCTGTAAGAGCTCCGACACGAATCCGCATGGCATTCCCTGGGCGCACCATGACAGTGGCTGCTGAACTAGCGATGATCATATAAATCACTTCAGGCTGTCTGTCTTCAGGCTCTGTTTGATCGCCGACCAAATTTTTCAAAAAAAAAACACAATCAGGCAAACATTTTCGTGCCGATGGTTTGAAATGTGTTATGCATTCCCGATTGATTTTTTTTTTTGAAATCTCATACTACCTCTGTTTATGAGTATTTGTCTAGTTCTGACTTTTTCAGTCAACCATTTTCAACTTTTGACATATAATTAAGTAAAACTTATGGAGTATATGGTATATTAATGAGATAAAATAATATTTTGAAAATATTTTATAAAATAAACCTACTAACATTATTTTTTGTATCGATATTTAGCATCAATTTTATTTAATTTATGGTCAAAGTTTATCAATTTTGACCGAAAAAAGTCAAACATGGACAAATACTCAGGGACGGGGGTAGTATGTAACTTCTACATAGTCAAGGATTAGGAGCTGAAAAAAAAGAAGCTAAAGTGTATCCCAGCAAGTGACCACTTGAGGCAAAAAGACCCATGTTGGGGATATAGTCCCACATCAAACACTCGTTAATAAAGACGAATATATTTAAAAATAGTAGTCACTCCTCTCATTGCCAATTAGTTTTGGGTTGGAATATCATAATTCTACAAAGTTGACTATAAGTGTAGAATCCCATATATGGGTGCAGTGCATCACATTGCTATTTTCATGAAATGTTGGGACCTAATCTAAAATCATACCTCAAAACTGAAACTAGCTCCCAACACAATTGGAAAAATCACTCATCAAGAATAATTGATAAGATGAATAAATTAGTGAGGGTACTTACTTGCTTGTCTTCTCAAGACGTGCCGTTGATTGTAATTGGGACCCGACTCCTCTCTTGGCCTAGTGAGAGAATCTCTTGCATTCTTTCAGGCCAGTCTGAGTTTAATATTCGGGCAAAGTCTGCAACTTCCCTGGCCATGAGGGGTAAAAGGGTCATATTTTCCAGTCAGACTTTGAAGTAGAATGAAGCACACATTGCTGATAAATACGGAGTAACATACACTGATACACCACCAATTTACTTACCTGTCAATCTTTTCTTTCATCGCGGGGTCAATCTCGTCATCTAACCCATCGTCAGAATCCTGTTCCGGAACAAAACAGTTGCTTTCAAATGGTGCCATGTTGAAAGCCCTGTCAGCCTTGTGCCCAGAATGATCATTAACTGTAGCAGTACAGTCCACAGATGTCATCTTAAGCTCCTGTTTAGTGGGAGTGTTCTTGTTTTGATCTTTCCTTTTGCGGTTCTTTCTCTTACTACTTTTGGAAGCTCTTACACCCTTTGAATCTGGAAAGAAAAATAATCAGAAGCAGAAGGAAGCAACTAAGAAATTTCCTTCCTACCAACAAAACGTTTCCTAAGGCCAAAGCAAATTAGAAAGCTTGCCTACTTCGAAAAGTTATCAAAAAGAGGCGACATGCAGGGGAATGAGTATTTAGAATCCGTCTGGAATGATGGAAAATAGTTTCTCAAAAATGAGATATGGAAAATAAATTCATTTTCTAGTTTTGTTGAAAGTTTGGAAAATGAAAAAAAAATTGTTTATGTTGTTGTAACATGATAAAACGTGGTGATTTACAATCTTAGGAGGAGAGGGGTGGAAAATGTTTCCAGCCCGAGAAAAACAAAAAACATTTTCCTTCAAATAAAGCTCATTTGTCATTGACTTCAGAAATCATTTTCCATTGACTCCCATTTTCCGGAACAGCCAAACACTGAAAATTTGGAAAATGACTTCCAGAAGTCATTTTCCTCCCTTCCTAAACAGACCCTTAATTCATTTCAAAATTCCAATAGTGTATACCTCCATCTTCTCCATTAATAAAGGACATGAGGTCATCAACAGAACGTTCATCCGCCTGGTCCTCTTCAACCTCAGGATTCTGAAATAGTAAGAACCTGAATATCATCGATATTAACATGAACGGAACACATTAAAGGCATTAAAAATGGAGCAGAATGTAATACCACATGCACCTTCAATATTTCTCTCCCTTTTAATTCTTTCCTCTTTCTGGCATACAATCTATTCAAAAGCCGAATCCGTGGATCATCCATTGTGTTCTTCAAGGGCTCTAATTTCTCTTCCTGAATAGATTTGTACATGTCAACTTCATAGAAAATATGGAAAAATCTCAAGTAAAACAGAAAGGAGAGTGGGCAGCATTTATGCTACTTATAAGCAACAGGCACCTCTGTAAGATCGTCTGGTAGATGGAATACATTACGTATTTCTTCTGGGTTTTTACCCTCAATCATCCGTGCAAGTGCACGACTTGTAAGGTCAAGCAGTGGCTTTAATTGCAGGCTGTCAGCAGCAGATGTCAACTGGCATAGCCTCTTTATATCTATGCGAATGAACTTCTCATCAAATGATTTTCTCTCCTGCAGGAGAAAAAACTTAACTATCTGGAGGAGATCTTATACACTATGTTTGGTTCACAAGGAATTTGAGACTTGAGAGGGAAAAGAAAATGATATGGAAAACAATTGTTCTTGTTTAGTTGTGGAAAAGAAAAGAAAAGTGAAAGGAAAAGAAAAGGAGAGGGAAAAAAACTAAAAAGGGGGGAAACAAATTTTCTTCCAATTTGGTGGGGAAAAGGAAAGAAACATTTTTCCTTTCCTTTCCTTCCTAATTCTTCGAACCAAACATAGCGGGTTAAAGTCCCTTTGGAACCCGGAAATGTTGTGGAAAGAAAATGAGGATGAAAAATAGAAGTCAGATTTGGAAGGAAAGAAGCTTTTTTTTTGGGGGGGGATAGAAGTCTAGATCATTTTTCAAAACCATTTTACCAATATACGGAGTACTTATATTATATAAAGACTAAAAATCTGAATATATGTGAATTTCTAAAAGTTCTAATCAACTTGGATTTGCCTTTGTATTTCCCAAATTAAAATTATAAAACCAAACATAGAGGATCCATTTTTACTACTTTCCATCTTCAGTGTGAAGTGCTTTTTTTAAATATGAAGTACTTTTTATTAAAATGATTTACACATTTATACATATTTCCTAATTCTTTTTGTTAGAGTATAGTTTCTGTCAATAAAATTGACACATCGAAAATGTTCTTGTTTTGGGAGAGGTTTACAAGAACACTTGGTGATTAGATAAACAACCATAAATTGGAAAACAAATTCACAAACCTTGTTGGAACGGCCATGTACTTGGTGAAAATGGCAATAATCAATAATCAAGCTCAACATGGCAGGATTCACCGTTGAAGGGAGTAATATAGGGCAATTTTTTGAAGATCCCAATCCAGAGTGCATTTCATGGCAAATAAACGGGCAAAACATTGCAACTACTTGTTCTACAGGCTGTGTCAATCCATCAGATGTTTGAATCCATACATAGGACTTCATGAGCTGCGCCTGAGAAGGGCAAGAAACACAATATACTTGACAAAGGAACACATAGTATACTAATCAAAATGATTCATATACTTCAATTATATACGGAGTATGATTTTTTATGTTTCCTTTTACACGCCATACGTTTTAGAGTTCTTCCAAATAGCAATGCAGGTTCGGTGGTGCTTATAGACTATAGTATACAATTCCTAAAAATCAGTTGGATGATGCTCAAAAGTACAACAACAACAACAACAACAACAACAACCCAGTATTATCCCAGCTTCATCAGGGTCTGAGGGTCAAAATGGTACTTATAGACTATAGTATACAATTCCTCCAAATCAGTTGGATAATGCTCAAGAGTGTCTGATGGAAATTGAAAATACCTCAGGTTTAATAACTTTACTATCAATTTCTGTCATTGACTCCCAAGATGGAAATAAAGAAATATGTTATTCAGCAAAACCCTTTGAAGTTGCAATCCTGTAATTAAAGATACAATGGAATCAGTACCACCGACTCTGGGAAAGTATCCAACAGCTCTTTAACTTTCACTTTTCTTCCAATTAATTCAAATGATGGTGCATATATTCACCTCACATTCTTGCTGTGTTTAAATATCTAAAGTAAAAAAATTACAGAGTACGACTTATATACAGATTACACAAAGTAAGACGTGGCAGTTGACAAGCTGATGATAAATTACTACTCAAAAGATTGCCACTAAACTTGTACTTG